AAAAAAAAAAAAAAAAAAGAGGGAGGAGAGCAGAGACAGAGAGGGGAGAGAGAGAGAAAAGAAAGATATATCCCTGGCCAAGTTCAGAAAGTTTAGTATCTGCCTACTTGCTTCTGTCTTACAGTCTTTTGTTAATTAAATAATTAATCAATTAATTTTATTTGGGTCTCTCTCTCTCTATGTAAAACCATGGCTGTCCCCTTCAATGTAGACCAGACTGGCCTTGAACTCAAAAAGATCCACACTCATCTGCCGCTAGAGTGCTGGGATTAAAGACGTACATCTTGTGTTTTATTTTGAGTTGTTAAAATTAAAGGACTAGAGAGATGGCCCAGCAGTTAAGAACACTGGCTGCTCTTGCAGAGGACTCTGGTTCACTTCCCATCACCCACATAGTGGCCCATTACCATCTGTAATCCCAGTTTTATCAGATCCCAAACCCTCTTCCGGCCTCCCTGACCACCAGGCACACAAATGATATACAGACATACATTCAGAGCACTCATATACACAAAATTTTTTTTTATTTTAACTAGCTGGTTGTGGTAGATAAATAAAAAGAGTTTAGCTGGATGTGGTGGTGCAGGCCTTTAATCCCTACACTCTAGTCGTAGAGGCAGGCAGATTTCTATGAGTTCAAGGCCAGCCTGGCCTACATAGCAAGCAACTCTACATCATGAGACTGTGTCTTGCAAAAAAATTTAAGGGACTGGAGAAATGACCCAAGAGCCCTGGCTGCTCTACCTAGAGGACCCAGGTTCAATTCCCAGCACCCACAACTGCCTAACTCTAGTTCCAAGGGTCTCACAACCTTACAACCTTACACACATGAAAAAATAAAAAGTAGTTACCTGTTCAAGAGGGAAAAAATTAAGGTTTCTTTTTAGAAATACCTAGAAAAGACTGGAGGGATGACTCAGCCAGCTCATGGCTTCCTGTAAGTCCAATTTCAAGGGATCTAGCACCCTCTTCTTGACTTCTTGCCTCCACAGGCATCTGCGTGCACACACCACACACACATACAATCTTCTTTTAAAAAATGGTGGTGTTGTTGCATGCTTTTAATCTCAACACTTCGGAGGCAGTTGAATCTCTATAAATTTGAGACCAGCCTGGTCTACATAGCAAATTTCAAGATAGCCAGGGCTACGAAGGAAGGAAGGAAGGAAGGAAGGAAGGAAGGAAGGAAGGAAGGAAGGAAGGAAGGAAGGAAGAGAGATATCTACCAATCGTCTTCCTTTCTTTTCAGGGTCCAGTCTTGAACCAGGGCCTCCCACGTGTTTAGCCAGTGCTCTACCACTGAGCTATAGCCCTGACCCGATGACTTTGTGTTAAAGGGGAGGGGTATGGTGGCTTTTTTATTGGTCCCTTGGAAAGTGAGAGGAACATGTATTTCAGAATAAGAGTGGCTTGAAAGTTCTTGTCCATAGCACAGGCAGGCTCATAGCCTCATTCCTAATCCAGAAGACCAGGTTAAATGTTCCTTGTTATTTTTAGTGCCTGGGTTATGGAAATAAAAGAACCAGGGAGGAAGGGGGCACCCGGATTTGAACCAGGGACCTCTTGATCTGCAGTCAAATGCTCTACCCCTGAGCTATACCCCCTCACCTTGTCATTGTCCTCTTCCTTGTCCACTTATGGTGACTCACTATGAACTGGTTCCACCCACACTAATGCCCCGGGGAGCTTTGTGTTCTCAAGCCTCGCCTTCTCTGTATACATCTTCTGCTTTGGCTTTTCTCAGCCACCAAGGAGCAGGGTGGGAACATAAAACAATGACAACTGGTCAGAAAGGAAATGGACATCATGAGCAGAAAATCCTCTGATTTGGGCTAATAAGCACCCCGATGTCATCTTGATCCCTCTGCCCCCTAATGAATTACATGTAGGGAGGAGATGGATGATGTCAGGTTTTTTATTTTCTTTTCTTTTTCTTTTTTTTTTTTGAACTAAGAATTGAATTTAAGGCCTCAACTATGCTAACTAAACTCTCTACTACACACTCTCAGCATCTAGCTATATTCCTGTCCCTAGAGTTTCTTTTTTCTTTAGACAAAGTCTCCCTATGTAGCCAATTTAGCCTTGGCCTGCATCCTTCCTTCTGCCTCAGTCTCTCAGCTAGCTGGGATTATAGACCAAACTCCCAGGCCCACTTAAAATGTCAGGATTGTGTTTTGTTTTTCAGAGGGGATGGAAATAATCAGGGAAATCGTATTTATTATTTTTGAGACTTGATGCAGGGTCTCTCTATAGTCCTTGCTGGCTTGGGACCCATTATGTAACCAGGCTGACTTGGTACTTGTGCGGCTCGTCCCATTTCCAGCTCCTAAGTACTGGACTTACAAGTGTGCGTCACTGCACCTAGCTAGGGCCTCACTGCCTATTCCTCGTGTATTTTTGCCTTTGTTTATTTGGGTTTGTTTTCTTTTTGTCTCTTTTAAATGACATTTTAATTGTGTTTGAGCATATGTATGCACATGGGCATATACATGCCACAGAGAGCATGTGGCAGTCAGAGGACAGTTTGTGGCAATCAGTATGCTCTTTCTACCTTGTGGTTGCTGGGGATCTGACTCAGGTTGTCACATACAGCTCCCTTCCTTGTTCTGATGGAAACAGTGGCCAGCTTACTGGTACCTGGAGAAGTTTTGTGGAGGGCCAAGCTTGTAGTACCTAGTGCTGGCTGGAGAGGTAGCCCAGTGGCAGACCGCTGGTGTTTCCTTGTACTAGACCACGGGTTTAATCCCTGGCCCTGCCAAGGAAGGACACACCAACACAGCCCCATCTCACCACCCCAGCCTAGAAGGAAACAGAGGCTGCCTTGATTTTTCAATTGATCTTCTCCCTTCCAAAGGTGAAGCTGAGTGTACAGAATCCAGCTTGTTCCCTCCTCCCACCCCAGAGAAGAAAGAACACACCTGGACACACAAATGTAACTTTTTGTTTTTGTTTTAGTTTTTACAAATGTAGCTTTTAAAAATATAGAGTAGCACTGACAGTTCATCTAAAGATCTGCTTGGAGATTCATGTCAAGGCCTGTGAAGCAATGTCTTCAGAAAATAGGGAATGGGGTGACTTCTCCGAACACTGATGGGCGCTGGCGGAGGGCTGGAGTGTTCCGGCGGTAGCCAAATCGACCGTTCAAGCCCGTGGTTATCTTCTTCGGATTGGCATTGTAGTAATCATGTCCACTGACCTGCTGGAGGGAATGCCCTTGGGAAAGAGGAGAGTGGCTGAGCCTGCAGACAACTTAAGCCCAGTGAGTCACAGCACCCCTACCCCCACAGCTGGGTGCTTCCTCCTCAGAGGCCCTGGGCCCCTTGAAAGAAACCAACAACATGAGGTCCCAGAAACAGAGATGTCCTAGAAATAAACCCTGCCCCAGGTGCGTTTACAAGAGGACTCTGACTGGTATGTGCTGGGTCCCCACTTGGCTCCCAGGAGATGTGAGGATGTCAGCCCTTGCCTCTCTCCCATCAGGAGAAAATAGATGAGATCAATTCGATCATGTGATGCAAAGAACTTCATGGTAATCTTGTGCCCAAAGGTGGAGTTGGATGGGAAGAAGGTTGTCCCCGTGAGAACAAGTGAATCTTCCTTTTCCCATGGCTGCTAAACTGATCATGCTCAGGGAAGCAGTGGGGGGGGGGGGCACACTACGAACACACAGGCAGGAACACACACACACAGACACGGACACACGGACACGGAACAACAGGCTCTAGACTGGATGGAGGAAACTGCAGCTCCATCAGCCCTTCCTTGCAGACCAGTTTAAAATCATGCACGGTGCAATGAATTGCACCATGGGATAAAATGAGGCTGAGGGGTACCCGACATATGGTAGGTGTTCAAGTATTAGGTGCCCCAAACACTATTTGCTATGTATGGGAAGAAAAGCCGGGAGGATACAGTCCTTGGCCCTCTCTTCCCACCCAGGCCTCTCTAAGCTCTGGGGTACACAGTGTTTTTCCACGGTGGGATCATATGAAGATGATCACTTGCCTGCCCCTGCCCAGTTTCTCCTGTTCAGATATCTCTGTCCTTGACCAAAAATGTGGTAATAATCCACTATCCAGCCATCCCTTCCTGTACCTCCATGATCCTGAAAATGAAGGAGAGAAGGCTGTCAGTTGGGGTGCCTCGGAGAGTGAGGTGCAAACTTCCTGGGGCTGCTTTGGGGAAGAGGAAGAAGTAGAGCTAGAAGAAACTGGGGGGCAGATTAAATGCACTAATGACCTGCAGAGGCAGTGTGGCTGGTGGGGCTCTGTGGCTGGACAGGGTGGATCCTGATCCCAGCTCTGTTACTGGCAAGCTATGTGACCACGGGCCAATTACAGAGCTTCTCGGCCCTCACATTTCCTCATTAGTAACCAACTGGAAAGCTGCCATGAGATGTCCATGACTTAGTTCAAATAAAAGGCCTGCCACAGTAAAGGCTGAATACACATTTTGTTACATGTTGTTGGTTATTTTTCTCAAGACAAGAGGCTCACATAGCTCAGGGGAAGCCTTAAATCTGTTTAGTTGAGGTTGACCTTGACCTCCTGTCTTCACCCTAACCTCTCCCCAGTACACATGCCACTCATCCAGCTCAAATATCTTGTTTCTCACGATCCCCCAACCCCCCAGAGAGAGTTTCTCTGTCACTTTTGAACCTGTTCTAGAACTCACTCTGTAGACCAGGCTGGCCTTGAACTCAGAGAGACCCCTGCCTCTGGGATTAAAAATGTGTGCCACCACCACCTGACTTTCTCACATCTTTATTCAAATAAAAATACCCAGCACATGGGCTGGGCGGTGGTGGCACACGCCTTTAATCCCAGCACTGGGGAGGCAGAGCCAGGTGGATCTCTGTGAGTTCGAGGCCACCCTGGGCTACCAAGTGAGTCCCAGGAAAGGCACAAAGCTACACAGAGAAACCCTGTCTCGAAAAACCAAAAGAAAAAAAAAAAGAAAGAAAAAAAATACCCAGCACAGATGTAATTTTGATGATAAACAATAATAAAACAAAACCAGACCTGGGCATGGGCATGCTGTAACTTCGCAGCTCTTGGGAAGTTTCGAGTCTGAAGCCAGGCTTGAGTACACAGTGAGTTCCAAGCCAGCCTGGGCTACTAAGCATGAGACCATCTCAAGAAACAAACAAACCAAAAAAGGAAACACTTTAAAAGCTTGAGTATGGTAGCACATGCTTACATTCTGAAGCTTAGGAGGAAACAGAAGGGTCCCAAGTTTGAAGGCAACCTGAGCTGGAGAATGAGTCAGAGATGAAGCTCTGCCTCAAAAGAAAGGGGGGGAGGGGTTGGAGGCAGAACTGGAGAGATGACTCAGTGGTTAAGAGTTCTGGAAGCGCCTCTAGAACATCCAGTTCAATTCCCAGTACCCACATGAAGGCTCACAACTGTAACTCCAGTGCAGGGCATCTGACGCCCTCTTCTTTTCTCCAAGAGCACCAGGCACACAAGTGATGTACAGACATAAGTGTGGGCAAAACACTCTGTGTGTGTGTGTGAAACTGGACACAGCGGCACGTCTTTAATCCTAGCAGTTGGGAGGCAGAGACCAGTGGATCTCTGTGAGTTCCAAGCCAGTTTCTTGGCCAGCCAGGGTCATATAGTGAGACCCTATCTCTAAAAACAAACAAACAAACAAACAAACAAACAAACAAAAAACAAAGTAAGCTGGAAAGTGGTGGCGCACGCCTTTAATCCCAGCACTCGGGAGGCAGAGCCAGGTGGATCTCTGTGAGTTCGAGGCCAGCCTGGTCTCCAAATAAAGTTTCAGCAAAGGTGCAAAGCTACACAGAGAAACCCTGTCTTGGAAAAAAAAAAAAAAAGTGGGGCTCCCTTCCCTTGGGCTCACAGGTGTCCCTAGCCAGTTTAACCCTGCAACTGTGACAGCATAGGCCCGAGATGCCAGGTCGGGACAATCCCCTTTGTGTGGTTCACCGAGCTCTATGGGAGTTTCTTCAGGTTTTGAGGACCTGCGGTAAGGTCACGCTAAAAGCGTTCCCCCCCACACCAGTGATGTCACAAAGACAAGGAAACCTATTTGTCGGGAGAGGCAGGCTTCCCGCCCTAGTCTCCCTCTTGCAAAAACAAGAAATGAGACTGTAGATGGGGTTCTGAGTGGAAGAAACCTCGTGAGCTCAGCGCCTCCACTCCTCGGTCACCACACTCCTCCACTCCCCAGTTCACCAACGCAGCCGCGGGGTGCTGGCCTCTGCGGTGCCCAGCCCTCTGCAGGGGGCCCAGAATTAGGGAGGGCAAAACCTCACAGTCCTGGGCCATCAAAGTCAAGCACCAATGGCTGGCTGCCGGAATCTCGGGGTCCTCCGGGATACTCCCAAACCTACCTGATCAGTTTTCCGCAAAACGGGCGGAACTACGTGGCTTCGGAAGTACCGACGCGTGTGGTAGTCAAGTTGTGGATTGTAAGGTGGAATTGCGGACCACAGCTTGGGCCTCGTGAGGCCGTAGGCCCGAGCCATTGTGCTCACGGCCACCCCATCCAAAACAAAGCTCTTTTCGAGTCGCAGAGGACACACACAACAGTGAGGCATCCCAACCAGCACAGCCTCTGAAGACTTTCTGAAGAGAGCACAGATAGGACTTCACCGAGCATTGTTACATTGTTACATTGTTACGTAGGTCAAGTTTCTCCCGAGACACAAACCTCATTGTTCTACATTTCAGGTTCACCACGCCCATCTTACTGAGGTGCTGGGATTTAACCCAGGGCTTCATGCGCATGCGTACTAGATAAGCCCTCTCTCCAACTGTACTACATGCCCAGTTTTCTGCGCTCACACTTTATATACATAAATGTTTTGTGTTTGTGTTTGTTTTGTTCGTTTTTCCGAGACAGGGTTTCTCTGTGTAGTTTTGGTGCCTGTCCTGGCTCTTGCGCTGTAGACCAGGCTGGTCTCGAACTCGAGGTTCCACCAGGATAGCCAGGACTACACAGAGAAACCCTGTCTCAAAAAACCAAACCAAAAAAAGGTAACGGAACTTAGTCCCCCTGCAAAGCTGTGCGGCTTTAACATCTCCAGCCAGGCTTTATTAGATTCAGTTTCTTGGCTGAGTTCCGCTGCAAAGCTGGTATCTAGATTTGACCATAATTCAGAGCACTTTAGAACCCTCGCCTTCAGTGTAAGTAGCTAAGGGTTTAGGATTTCCATAAACCACAAACCACAGGTGGTGGGGCTCACTTGTAATCCTAGCATTGGGAAGGTATTCAAGGCCAACCTCAACTACAGACTGAGGTCAGCCTGGGGTAGGTACTGCCGATTTTCCCTTCCCCTACCCCCAATTCACCTAGTTGCAGAACTCAACACCAGAATTCACTTTTCCCAACCCTCTGTTCAGGACCCTCAGAGTTGTTCCTTTCATCCCACTTTTCTAATCATCCTTAGATAGCCCAGGCTAGCCTCATTTTTTGATAGCCCCTAAGTACTGGGATTACAAGTATGTGCCACCTGGGAACCAATTCTTGTCTTCCAGACAGAGAAAACAAAAACAAAAATCTAAACTAAATGGACATGGAATTCTTTGCCTGGCAGGGACTAGGATACAGTAAAATGCTGTATTCCGTTTATAATCGCAAGCGACTCTTTCCTCATGCTTCCACTTCCCCAGTTGGCCGCTCACCCCAATAATAAACCCCTAATACAAACGCCCTATGTATCAAAGCACCCCCACATACACGTGCCAACCCTGTATGGCATTTGGGGGGAAGCAGGTTGGCAATACTTTTGGGCATTCCTGGGGATTGGAACTGTGTTCTCAGCCAGGCAAGCCCTCTACTTCAGGATACTTTCAGGCCTTCACTTTGCTAAAATTACCCAGGATGGCCTCAAAGCTTACTTTTGCCTCTCCTGGATTACAGACACAAAACACAGCTAAGGCTTTCTGTTCATTGCTGTATAAATGCCTGACCTCCCAACATTCAAGAAAAAGGTTTGCTGGATGTAGGCACGTAGACTATAATCCCAGCACCGGTGCGGAAGTGGATGGAACACAGCTTCTAGTCGGTGCTGGAGAGGTGGCTTGGCATTTCAGAGTACTGTCTCCTCTTCCAGAGAACCTGGGTTCAGTTCCCAGCAACCACACAGGAACAAACATAATCTGTAACTCAAGTTCTAGAGTATCTGACTACCTGAGGGCACTGTACAGATGGTGCAAATATACAATCCAGCACCAACAGACCTAGAATAGACCTAAAGAAAAGCAGGAGGATCATTTATGAGTTTAAGGCATTCCAAGTAAGGATACACATACCAAGACTTTGCCTCAAAATTTTTTGAGTCAGGTGGTGGTGGTGAATGCCTTTAATCTCAGCACTTGGGAGGCACGGGCAGGAAGATCTCAGTGAGCTTAAAGCTAGCCCAGTCTACAAAGTGAGTTCTGGGACAGCCTGGACTGTTAAATCATGCCTTGAACGG